TCTGCGGGAACCCGCGTATCTCGGTGGAAAGAGGCGAGCCCCGCACCAGAACCCACCCTCCCAGAAGCAGTGAGAGCAAGAAAATCTCCTTCCCCTTCCTCCTGCACAACTCGCTGTCCCCTCCCTTCCCTTTCCCGAACTGTGAATGCTGATTTCTGAGATGAAAATCTTCCTCATCGGACAGCCAGGACTCGTATGAAGGACACGCAAATACTGGATCATAAATAAGAAGCGAGTCTGACGAGCTCAGAAACCCAGCCCAAAAGGAGCAGCATCAAGAATCCACCCCTCTCCTGCACAACTGACTCCCCACCCAACACACATAGAATACTAATTTCCTGAGATAAGATCTTGCCCCTTTAAACAACCACACACACGCGCATACACACACAGTGTATATTATTACTAAATATAATAGGTTAAACCCAACAGCACGGGGAAAAAGCCTCTACTGCAACTCGCTCCCCCTTTTCACCCTTCTGAATGCTGAGATCCTGAGGTAAATTTTTCCTTTACCCACAGCAAAGACTCTTTTTGAACAGGACACAAATATATATTAGATTATAGAGATGTATTAAATTATTCCAGATTTAAATCTATTTTTTGCTGCCAAGGGGTCGGGGGACCAGACGTCATTGTATTTTCTTTTTTTTTTCCCCCTTCCCTCTTAACTCATTTATGGGCGAGTCGAGGCTGCTGAGAAGGAAGAAAACAGGATAGTTACAGTCTCTTTATCCTTATTTCCCAGAAGCTTTTTCTCTCATTGCTGTGCATTTCCTTTAGGAAAAAAAGGAAACCTCTTATTTTGTGAACCAAAGATTTATTTTTCCCTTCCTCCTGGCCAAAGGAAGGAAACGGACGAAATTGACACATTTAAATAGTTGGAGAGATCTATCTTTTGCAAAAAAAAAAAAAAAAAAAAAAAAAGCAGCAAACATCTTTATCCCAATCTGAAATAGCGTGGAGGGAGAAACTGGAATATCTAGCTAAAACCAGGATACTAATCTCGCCTCTGAAGAGGACGAGGTAAACACTAAACATCAACTTGTTCTTACAGGGAGGATTCAAACCCTAAATATAATAAATGGGGGATTACGGGTTTGGAGTGTTAGTGCAAAACAACACTGGAAATAAGTCAGCTTTTCCAGTCAGATTTCATCCACATCTGCAGCCCCCACACCATCATCAAAATGCAACCCCCAGTCCTGCTGCTTTTATAAATAATAACACAGCTGCCAATGGCAGTAGTGCTGGGTCAGCTTGGCTCTTTCCTGCTCCAGCTGCCCATAATATTCAGGATGAGATTCTGGGGTCAGAAAAATCTAAAACTCAGCAACAGGAAAAGCAAGAGTCCCTAGAAAAACAGCAGCTTTCCCCTGGTCAAAGTCAGGAAGCAGGCATGCTCTCTGAACCTGAGAAAGCTAAAACTGAAGAAAATCAGGGCGATAATTCTTCAGAGAACGGCAATGGAAAGGAGAAAATAAGAATAGAATCGCCGGTCTTAACAGGATTTGATTATCAAGAGGCTTCAGGGCTAGGTACTTCGACACAGCCCTTGACATCCACTGCATCTTCTCTGACTGGTTTTAGTAACTGGTCTGCAGCGATAGCTCCTTCTTCTTCTACAATAATCAATGAAGATGCAAGTTTTTTTCACCAGGGAGGGGTCCCTACTGCCTCAGCTAATAATGGTGCTCTGCTGTTTCAGAATTTTCCACATCACGTCAGCCCTGGCTTTGGTGGTAGCTTTTCCCCCCAAATTGGACCCCTCTCTCAACACCACCCTCATCACCCCCATTTTCAGCATCATCACAATCAGCATCAGCAACAGAGGAGGTCTCCTGCAAGTCCTCATCCACCTCCATTCACACATAGAAATGCTGCTTTTAATCAGTTGCCTCATTTGGCTAATAATCTTAACAAGCCACCTTCTCCATGGAGCAGCTACCAAAGTCCATCGCCTACACCATCTTCATGGAGCCCTGGTGGAGGTGGATATGGTGGGTGGGGTGGGTCCCAAGGTCGAGACCATCGCAGGGGACTGAATGGAGGGATAACACCCTTGAACTCCATCTCGCCCTTAAAGAAGAATTTTGCAAGTAATCATATCCAGTTGCAGAAATACGCTCGACCCAGCTCAGCCTTTGCTCCAAAATCGTGGATGGAAGACAGTTTGAATAGAGCTGACAACATTTTTCCTTTTCAGGTGAGCACACTCTTGTTATATCCATAAGGAAAATAACACGTAAGTGTATTAAAAATGCCCTAGAAAGCGTTGGGGGTTTGAACAGCACCATCTGATTGTGTGACTTATGTGCTTGCAACTAAAAATAATATATGTCTAACAAAATGTCATCATGTGAATTATGCTCTGAACTGTGAGTCATGTGGTTTGTTTTTTTGTTGGTTTTGTTTTGGTTTTTTTAATAGTGGTAATCATGTAAGTATCTTTTGCCTCCCAGACATCTGTATTAGCAAGTTTCCTTCAGCTTAATACTTATATTCAGAAATAGCTGATGAACAAATTCAGTTGCAAGTAGTGAGTATATTTACTAAAAGGAGAAAGGAATAAAGTGCTGCCTGATGAAGTATGAAGATATGAGGCCTTTTTAAGTATTCAAGAATGTACCACATGTAAGAAAAAGTATGAAGTGATTGTATTTTGGTTTGCAGTGTCAGATGGACTTGTAGTGCAACATCATTTTTGTAGCATTTTTTTGGAAACTCTGCTTGTTTTTACATGATGGTAATCAATGCAGTTTGCTTTCCTCAGTAATTGCAGCAAATTTTCCCCATAGGCCATTAAATCATCACCAAAAATAGATCTGGACGAGTGGTCTCCTATATTTTAATGTGGCCTTATCCTGCCAGGAGCAGGTTGTCTAACAGTTCAACCTTTCCTCCAAGCTGACTTTTTATAACTTTGAAAAGAACTATATAATGTTGAACCTAATCTGCAGTACAAATTAAACTAGAAGTACTCTTCCCTTCGTCAGACCCCTAGTTAAATCTAGCTTTTATGTTTGTCTGTGCCTTTTGTAAACTCCTTTAGGGTGAATCAAAAAATCCAAGAGTTCTTTTACATTTAAAGGGTTGTTTTTCAGGATCTTCAAATAAGGACAGAAGTAAAAATGTCAGAGTGATTGCAGTATTTCTACCCATGCTGTAAGAACCTGGGTGACCTACTTTAAAACAATTTGAAAGATCTGAAGATAAAAACCATGCAATATGTTTCATGTTGTAAACAACCCCAAAGAGACAGAAATCTATTTAATAATGACTTTGTGGACTCAGACCTAGGAACAGTTCAGTTTTCCTTCCTCTACTGTTCAGTTTCTTTTTGGTTTGCAGGATCTGCCTGTGCAGCCTTCTAACAACGGAGCAGCTGCTGGCAATAACTTTCCATTAGAGACCTTTATTCTAGTGCAGAGCTACTAGCTGGTTCAGTGTCAGGTAGAGCCCCTGTAAATTCAGAATGCATAGTAATAATTGATTTTAATGTCAGGATTTGTAATTAATATCGTAAACCTGTGTTCAACATACCAAATTTATACACTGAAACCATTAGAAAAAGGGACACAGCTGTAGTCAGTCTTTTTTCAGCCTCACTGCAGCGAGACTTGGCTCACAGTTAATTCATTCTCTACCCTGACACATAGCTGATGTTCAGAGTGACAGAATGAGATCAAGTGTGTCCTTGCTGCTCTGTATACAGCCCAAATATATACACAGGGATAGAAATGTGCTTGGTTTGACATCAAGGAGATCTCAGGAAATCGGCAAAGCCAACCTTGACTTCTGGGTTGTGTTCCAAACATAAAATAGCAGATCCGTATATTTGATCATGGTAAGGAAATAGTTTTTGTGTAGCATGTTGGTATCTGTTTACATAAACACTAAGATGAAGCTGTACATGTCAAGACCAAGTCTGACACTCCTTCATGCCAAGAAAAGGAAAGTGTTGGAGCGAACTGCTTTTCCAGTCTGTTACTATCACTTCTGTGAAGAAAAGGGCAGGGCAGCAAAACAGGACTTCAGCACTGCAGACCTACAAAGATGCTGATTGATTTTGAAGCCATGTTGGACAACTGCTTTTTATAACTTTTTGTATAAAATCTTTAGCTCCTTTGGTCCCTCAGTCATTTGTGTGTTGAAAGCATACTGAATTTTTGAATCACTGGAAACAAATGATGTAAAATTGGACCTTTGATCTCTTTATTTTTTCTTGCTTATTCTGATTGTATGCCTGAATCCAAGCAAAAATAAGGACTTTTGCTTATTATATATTTGTGTTCATGCATATGTACATATATATATATATACACAGAGAGAGAGAGAGAGAGGAAGTATCCTTGGTGATGCAATCATGTACTGGATAAGGCTATTTTGTTACTGGAATCTTCTTAGATTCCTGTTTAGGAAATAATTGAAAGCTGTCTTTGCTGCAGCAACATAATGGAGTCATTTGATACAACTATCCCTTTCATTTAATATTTATGCTTTGCTGCTTAAATCATTAACAAGTGTTGCTGTAATCTAGTGAAAATGAGTTTCTTTAGAAGGCAAGATGTAAACCAGCAATTGCAAATATTTGGGGATCACTTTTTTCTCAACGGTTGCCTCTACTTTGGCACATGGTGAAACACAGAAGTCTATGTTTTGATGGAAATCTTAAGGTAACCAAGTGTAAGTGCTCATTTCCTCTTTAGAGAGGACAACATTGCATAATGTCCTTATAAGCCACTGATGTGAACTACTGCTCACTTCAAATATTTCTGTCCATGGCCCTTAGATGCTTCCAATGAAGTGGGCATTCCAAATGGCACAGCTGAAAGGAAAATACTGTGGTGATCTCTTTGATAATCTTGCAATCTGATGATTGCTTGCTCAGTATTGAGAGCTGCATGCAAAACATTGTGCTTTTTGTTCTAAGTGTTTTTCCTTTGGAATTCTGTCTCCTAGCATTTCAGAAGTAGCATGTCTGTAGGAACCTCTTGTTGCAGAGATGGAACTGGAAGCAAGGTCAGAGAAGACTGTTACCAGATCTGCTAATGAAATTAAGTTTTGATATTGTGCTTTAGCCACTGGGCAGGCTTCCCCCTTCAGATCTTTTGAAAAGAGAAAAGCCATTGTTCTTTGTGCATTCATTTGAAAAGGAAATGGTCTCCAAAAGAAAAAATGGTTCCTGAATTAAAAAAAAAAAAGTGTCTTTTGGATGTAACAGCCTTCCCTGAGAATTAAGAAATGAAAATGCTTTGACTGTAACTATTGCATCTTAAAAAGTTACTGATTTTTAAAAACAATTACTTCTCTCCCAGCAGCACTGACAAACTAAGTGCTCAGTAATTGCATTTTACTGCAGCATTGCCCTCAAGATTGTTTTGGCTTTCCTTTTGCTATGTACTTGCACTTCCTCATGAGAGTGGAACATCCTGCCTGTTATGCAATGCATAAATCTTGCTTTGATAGGCATTTCCAGGTTTCCAGATCTCATCTTTAAATGCATGATGATGTTTTCCAAGTTGGTCTTTGAAGGCACAAGCAAGTTAAGCAATAGTGTTCAGCTTTCTGTAAAAATGCTTAAAAAGAATTTGTGTTTCTTCCTGGAATCAGCCTTGAAAATAACTGCCCATTTCAAAGAATTCTGTCCATGAGAGCAGTTCATTATATCCACTTGTTCAAAACGTTTTTTCCTTTCTTCTGCAGTGGCTAGTTTCCAGGTATATCACCCCTTCAAATTCATTGAGGGGCTCTGCCAGGGAGACTTTCTCTTCCCCCAGGCAGATATGGAATGTTTGAGAAAACACATACGTGATTACAGAATGTGTTTGAATTCTGAGCCATACATCATGATTTGTTTGCCCATAGAAATGGGTTGATTTAATAAGTGTGTTAAACAAATTCACAGACTACTGGAATTAAAAAATAACCTCTTGAATGCATTTGCCAATCTTTGCTCTTGAAGGAATTTTGCAAATAAATTCCTTTACCGTGCCTCTTTATTTTACTATTTGTTCTTTGTTTCCGAGGAACCTCTTTGGGAATCGCGATGGCTGGTTGTATAACACCGGGCTAATTGCTTTGCAGCAAGTTTTGCAGAATTTTATTCTAGCAACAGCAATTATTCCAAGAAATTTCGAGCTATCATTTTGAAGGAGAAAATAAACACTTGATGCTGGATTTTTAAATGCCTGTTCACCCATTTTTCTGTAACTGCATCAGCTGTGTAGTAATTAGTGTTTTGTGTGCTGTTCCCCACAGCTACTGATCTATGGAATTAGAAGCAGTCTAATGTGGTATGACATGCACGAGTTAAGTACTGTGGAAGTTAACACTGTTCTTGTTTTATAAACTTACTACTGACGTTAATACTTCGGCTTTGGCCCTCCTGTGTGTTTTTGACCTCAGGGTTTCTTTTTAAAGACAGCTTTTGTTAGAAGCTATTTGAATTATGTTTGTATTTTCCTAAGATTAAAAGGAGTATTCTTATTAAGCATTTTGCTTTGAAAATTGCATACTTAGCAGCCTAGCTAAAGATTGAGAACACAAGATATTGTGGAAAATAAAGACACACAAAAAACTTAATACGTGGTTAAAATAGCATCAGACATGTTACTGGAAATTTTTATAAAGGTCTGTAATTTCTAAGACTTTAAAAAAAAAAAAAAGGTTCAAGTTTGACTAAACCAGAAGTGCTCCCTCCCAGAAAAACTCCTATGCTATGCGTCATTTAACTTTTCCAGCTTTTTCTTATTGTTCCCTGGTGAAGCTATAAAAGATGATCAGGGCAGCATACAGCAACATCCTTTCAGGAAAAACCTGTTTATTCAAAGCCTTTAATTCACTGGATACTGGACTGGAAGCTGGAATACAGCATTTGCAGGGTGTTGGGAAGGAGGAGAAGCTTACGCAGAAGCAGAATCAAGTCCAAATTTGCTCTTCAATTAAAAGAAAAGCATGGAACTTGTATTTAGTACCTACAATACCACCTCTCCCTA